TGCGTGTGCGTGTGCGTGTGCGTGTGCGTGTGCGTGTGCGTGTGCGTGTGTGCGCGCGCGCGCGTGTGTGTGTGCGCGTGGGTGTAGCCAGACGGGAATCTTCTTTTCGTCACAAGCTCCCGCGTGTTATAGAACTATACGCGTGTCAGCGTGTGACTGCCATTACCGTGTGGTCTATCATGTGCGTGGACTCGCAGGCTGGAATAGCGCCAAGAAGCCACATGACGGTCGCAGACAGCAGCAGCCTGGCGCAGAGGTCACCAACCCGCAGCGCAGCCATCGTTGACTCTACAACGCTAGCAAGCACAGCACAGAATGATATCCTATATTGATGATCGCAGGGTGTTCGGCGCGTGCGCCGGAAGCGAAGACTGTCGTTCGATCCCCGACAATAAAAAAAATCACGTATGTCTCCCGTTTGGCGACCACTTGCCTTGATGACGTTTCCCGCCTCTCTCTCTTTCTCTCTAGTTGTTATTTTTGCTTATCTGAGTAGACACGAACTTCGGGTATAGTGGCTACACACGAAGCGCGCGACGTCGTGCATTCGACGGCGTGTTCTGTATCGACTCCGCCTGATGCGACGCTAAAACATAATACGTAAATAGTAATACATATATATATAAGTAATATAGTAATAAGTAATACACATATCTATATCTATATATTATATATATTACTAAAACGTAATATAACCGGCTATCTAGCAACGATTCGACGGCGTGTTCTGTATCGACTCCGCCTGATGCGACGCTAAAACATAATACGTAAATAGTAATACATATATATATATAAGTAATATAGTAATAAGTAATACACATATCTATATCTATATATTATATATATTACTAAAACGTAATATAACCGGCTATCTAGCAACGATTGTCTACAGCAGCCAGCGAGAAACGAATACCCAGGTTAAGCAATTCCGACGAAGAGTTGCAGTAGCTGGTGCTCCATCGCGGAAGCTGTGCGGTAGTGCTATTTGAAGCGTCTGCATGCGTCGTTGTCGTCGACGTTTAGACATGGGCACGGCTAACGTAACCAGGGAGACGTAACGTTCCCACATCAACCATCGATTACACGAGTGCATATCGCAACGGCGGTATAGGCAAGGCTATAGTGACATACATTAGGAAAGCGTCATACATTATATATATGTGATNAGGTGTGTATTCTGTTTCATAGATTCGATTCAAAAATTCATTCGAATGCGTGGAAATCGAATGATGTCGATGCATCAGTGTCCGAGTGCGTAGGAGATCGAATGATTCGATGCGTGAAATGCGAATGAGTTCGATGCATCAATTCGATTCACGCACGAAATCAATTCGAATATCACCGCATCCGAATCATTCGATTCACGCATCGAATCATTCGATCACGATCGAATCATTCGATTCACAGCATGCGAAATCATTCGATGCATCAATTCGGAATGGCGTGGAATCGAATGATTACGATGGAGCGTGCATCGAAGAATATCGATGCGGTGAATGGCGAATGATGGAACATCGAAGTCATTCGATTCGGCCAGCATCGAAAATCATTCGATTCACTGCATGCGAATGATGCAAATGCGAATGCAATTCGATGCGTGAATCGAATGATCGATGCGTGAATTCGAATGATTCGAATGCGTGAAATCGAAATTGAAAATTCGAATGACGCGCGAAACTGCGACATGAGTCGATGCAAATCATTGGGAGGCGGGGCCGATCAACGCATCGGAATCAATTCGATTCACGCATTCGAATCATTCGATTCACGCATGCGGAATCATTCGATTCACGCATCGAACATTCGATTCAGGTCACTGCATCAGAATCATTCGATGCATCATATCGATGCTGGGAATCGAATGATTCGAGATTCGCGCGAAATCGAAGAATTCGATGCATCATTCGATTCACGGCAATCGAATCATTCGGGACTTCACGCATCGAATCATTCGATTCAGCGCATCGAACTCATTACCGATTCACGCATCGAATCGATTCGATTCATGCCACGCTCGAATCATGCGATGCATCATTCGATGCGTGAGAATCGAAATGATCGATGCGTGAATCGAATGACTTCGATGCCGTGAATCCGAATGATGCATCGAAAATCAATTCGATTCCACGCATCGGAATTCATTCGATCACGCATCGATATCATTCGATTCCACGCATCGACGATGCAGTCGAATGAAAGTATCGATGGCGTGAATCGAAACTGATCGACTGCCGTGAATCGAATGATTCCGATGCAGTGAATCGAGAATGATTTCGATGCGTGAAATCGAATGATTCGATATATGCATCATCGATTGCACGCATCGAACTCATTCGAATTCACGCATCGAAATCAATTCGATTCACAGCATCGAATCATTCGATTCACGCATCGAATCAATTCGATTCACAGCCATCGGAATCATTCGATGCATCATTCGATGCGTGAATCGAATAGATTCGATGCTGTGAATCGAGATGATTCGATGCCGTGAATCGAATGATGCAGTCGATCATTCGATATCGCGCATCGAATCATTCGATTCACGCATCGAATGATGCATCGAATGAGATTCGATGCGTGAATCGAATGATTCGATGGGTGAATCAATAATAGGCGAATAAAATGTGAAATGATTTATAATGTGATAAATCCGAATGTTTATACTGTGATAAATCGAATGTTATAAGTGCGATAAAATCAACCATAAACAAAAATCGAATATTATGACACAAACAACATGCCATCAAAATACACTGACCAGATAGAGTGGTCGACCGACGGAGTGCGGAAAGTGGGGCACGCGAAGCAACGCATGTTCGCATGTCGCATACGGCTGCGACATGGCGAAGCTCAGGAGGCGACAAGATAATGCCCGGATGTCGGCACAAAAGTCCGGGCGCGTATAAAAGGCTCGCCGCGCCTTGAGCGGGAGAACGTCTCTCCCTTTGTTCTACCCGACTGTTCTATTGCACGCTCCCTTATACGCGTCCCTCCTTACTGTCGCTGTAACTAACATGGCTTATAATATACGTGTTTGTGGTACGTTACGCCTCTAGTTCGTGTTTGCTTTGCGTCTTGCGCTACCGTTACTTCATTACCCGTCACCCACTATACGTGATGACAACTACGCCGTTACATATGGTGCCGGACCTAAGGAACTTGTGGTTTTTGTGTTGCACGGGTGTTGCCGTCATTCCACACCGATCTACAAGCAAATTGCTAAGGTGAGTGGAGCAAGTACTGGTGGCTATGTCGCATTTCCCGCCGCGGGGTACGTGGGTTATTGTAGTTAGATAGTCATGAGCAGACGGTAATTCTGAATGCTACTACGAAGCTCACGGCATGGCTCTCCCATCTATACCCATCTAACCCAATCGCGGGGTTTTAATTTAGACGAGCTCACACAGCTGTTTACAATTTCCCTTCAGCCGTCTATCTGCAAACTGCCACGAGTAACTCTTTAATCGTGACTTTTTTCAACCGCACATGATGCCGAACATCTTCATGGGAAGCATGGGGCGGCTAACGATAATGTTTTAGCAAAATGTTCGGCAATGTGCGCCGGGTTACAGGTTGAATTAAGTTTACCCGATTAAGTTAACCTGTTCAGGTGACTGCATTGATAGCATCTATTAGAACCTTATATCGTATTCTTACTGTAGACGTGGCTCCGGTGTGGCACTCTAGAGACAACTAGTTAAGGAACAGGTACTCACTATGAACCAGTAATAAATCGTTTGCGGCGGCTCCGCAAATGTTTTTTTCGTGGCGAAACATTAATCATTGCGCCTGTGCAGACCTGAAGGTGGTCTACGAAGATGCAAACCCCGTTTGGAGTGGAAGCTCCGCCAGAGTTAATGGGGCGTGGTAAATACGCTCCGCCCGCTCCCACGCCACCGGCCAGCCAGACGGCGCAACCGGGCTGCGCAGCGCAGCGGAACGTGCCGCGGCGGCAGGCGTGGGGGCGGGCGCAGCTGGGGCGCTGCCGTGGCAACGCCCTGGGGTGGCGGTCGTAATGCGACATGTGTGAGACGAGAGCGTTCGTCGGCCGCATCTGGTAGGAACGCTGCGACAACGTCTCAATTTTTTAGACACATCGGCGAATTATCCATTTCGAGTAATTTGGCTCTTAATGTGGGCCCTTAATGGATAGGCGGACGCGGCGTCTGGCCACCCCCCCCGCGCGCCGAATTCGTTACGTAACGCCGAGCTGATGGCGAGGCGTGATGAGAAGACGAGCCCGGCCACGCGAGGGACCACGGTAACGCACGTCGCCGGCGGAACACGGCTGACGGCACCAAGACGACAAGAGCAACGGGCTGACCGCTCAGACAACAGCCGGTGAGGCCCAAGATCCACTCCCGCGCCCCCTCCGCGCCTCCGTTCGCCGCGACTCGAGGGAGTGACCGTGAGCGGCCCCGTTCGAAACCCTCCCCCTACCCTCCGCGCTCAACTCCTGGGTTAGTGACCCGGGCAAGACTACATGTACCGAAATCGTGCAAGCGGGTCCGAGCCCAGCCTCCACCCGGAATGACGCAGCCCAAGCACGGCAGCCGACAGGACGAGCTGCAGCCACGGATCAAGTATTAAAGTGATTACGTCACCGTAAAATAGTAAACAAAATAAAAAATAAAAAATTCCACCTTTTTCAAACAAAATAAAGTAAAATTCGCCGGTTCACTTTTATGGTTAAATTGCAGCATTATACTCCTAAGTTTACCTATATGTGCCGATGTGCTCATACACCGTGACTCATTACATGGCCCATAGAGCAAGCAATGTAATGTCAGAAACATAATAGTCAAATCGTCGCAGTTTTTGGATTTTAACTTAGTTGAGGAAACCAATCTATCAAGGTAAGAATTTGAAGGAATAACATTTAGTCCAAGTTAAGTTCTTACATTTTAATGTAAAAAAACATGGCAACTCAGTTATTAGACACCTCTATTTGCTCTCTGTGCGACACCTCTGCTTGCTAGGCATCCTGCATAATTAATGAGCTCGCGCAATGCTAGCTCGCGCGCAGCAACGCTACAATAGAAAACCATAAAGAAATAGAGTCCATAATAGAGTCCATAGAGAAATTTCTATAATGGACTATATAGGACTATATTCTACAGGTCACGCAGTAGCAACGATTGCAGGTAGTAGAGACGCCAATTTTACTGCTACGCATTTGTGAATATATGTATATATATATCAAGAGTGCATAATAGAGATGCATCTCTATTATGCACTCTTGATATATATATATACCAAGAGATATATACACAGTTATGGAGTAGGCGGATATTTATGTTTTTGCCATCGTATCTAGGTTTTATTATTAGTTATATGTTGTTTATACTATTACAATATAGTGTTTATGCTTTACATTTCATAACCATTTATAGAACATCTCACAGCGTAAAGATCAACAGCAAATACGCGAATATAATTTTCAAAGTTTAATCTAGAGGATGCATATTCAAATGAAACTAGAGAAGCTGTCAAATCTAACAATTTGTCAGATATAAACGTGGCTGAAAAACGGTAAACATAATACATAATAATAATAATAATAATAATAATAATTATAATAATAATTATAACAATAATAATAATAATGCGTAAATAGTAAAACATGCGCCGATATTACAATACAGTCGCGTTATCATCGTAGCAATTAGTCATAATTAAACTATTTTTGTTTCATAATGTAATTTTACAGCTGCTTCTCTCGTTTCTAAATACATGTTTTTTGAGCAATCACTACCGTATTCCCTCGAATAAACGCTCGGCGTTTATTGTTTTCGTCACACTAATGACCCCGGCGCCTATTCAAGCATGCCTTTATTCAGGCAGGGGCGTTTATTGTTTTACTGCATGATACACCCGTTATTTAATTTATTTCCTTCGTAATATATCTAGAGACAGGCCTGTTATTTCGTGCAAAGATCTGGCCAAAACATGTTTTCTTTGATGTTTTTTTTCACGAAGTTTTGTTTTACTCTGGCGACGTTCGCACCTGCTTGTTATCAAAACAACTGAAAGTAATTAAAAACCCGTTAGAGAGAATCTACGGCACGCGGATCTGCCTGCGGCAGCCAAGGTAAATTTCGCTCCCCCCTGTCCATCAATTTCTGAATACGCCACTAGTTACTGATCACCGCGGGAACATTCTGCATTTGGAGTGCACAGGGTTGGAGATCCTGTATACATCATCACCCCTCTCCCCGGCGACTATCCAGGCCCGGCGTTTATTGATTTAAAGTATCTTTACCCCCCCGGCCCTTAATCACACATGCCTTTATTCAAGCAGGGGCTATTATTCGAGGGAATACGGTATATCATATATATATATAATATTGTATATGTATACGTAAATTGTCTCGTAGAAGTGACTATGTATATATATATATATTACGACACTAACACAGCAACAGACATTACGAGCCGCGGCATAAAACCGACACGAGCGTCACGTCGGCAATTGTGAATCGTGACAGGTAGCTTGCGTTGTGGCGCGTTGCGCGGGCAAGTTCCGTATTATGACACTCGATCATCGTCGTCCGTATTTTTTCCTTCATCTCACAGATAGAATTATGTCAACGTCTATCCCGGCATACTATTTCTGTGGCCAATGCGCGTGCAATCGCGATGTCGCCGCAACAATCCTATACCGGCCGATGACGTCACGATCTGCTTGTCCGGCAACCCAGTCGCCCATAAACGCCCAGGGATGGCGCGGGGTCCTAAACGGTTTGCAGCGTGAACAACCCCAAAGCACAAAGGTGTTGTCTCGGCGTGGCGAGCGATCTACGCGGCCCACGGCTATAGTACCTTACATACACTCAATCGCGCACGCACCCACAGATACACCACACACACACACAGCCACCACACACACACAAACACACACAACACACACACACACACACTACCCACAACAAGCCCCAAGCACATATATATCTATATAACCATATACACAGCGCACACACACACACACACACGCAGGGCACACACCACATCACACACAATACACAGCACGCGACAAACGCCACACAATACACCACCAGTCACACGCGGTAACACACACACACACACAGCAAGAGAGCACACACCCAAGCAAGGAGTACAACACACAGCATACACACACACGACGTACACACACACCGACACCTCCAAACACACACACACACACACACACACACACACACACACACACACACACACACCGGGCCCGATTCTAGCAACAGGCGGATGTGTGCGTGACCTCGTTATCGCTCACTGCCATGTTAGTAACGTAGTTGCCACTAACTGACATGTTAATGACGTAGCTACCACTAACTGCCATTTTAATAACGTAGCTAGTATGGATTGCTATTTCAATGACGTGGCTAATAGCGACCACCGTTTCAGTGACATGGCTAACCCGATCCACTATTTCTATGACGTAGCTAACCTGGACAGCTTGATATAGGCATAACGGGAGGCATAGCGAGTTATCACCTGTCTTGGATATTGCTTATTATTTCTGCAGACTCCATATATATCTCTCTATATATCTCTATATATATTCTCTATATATTCATGCAGACGCAACGAGGTTCATTGTTGGGGGCCAGATTGCCAGCATCTACACGGCGCCCTATCAAGTAAGTTATTCCTGTCTTTACGAACGATAAACGGAGCAGCAAATGATGTAGGCAGTAAGAAACAAAACAGTTTCGGCGGCGAAAGGAGTTTACTCAGACGCGGGGATAAAAAAAAAGGTATACCACGACTCAGCAAGACGCTCTGAAAGCAATGCTTCCTGTTGCAAAATCAATAGCTTGACGCGCGCGAGTGAAAAACACTGATCCAGCTTGATCGACATGACAACGTTATCTGAGCCGCTGCGGTTGTTTCGCTCTGGATGGATAGGTCAGTTACTACTAATATAAGAACTAGATACGGAAGTCTTCTTTAAATGTGAAAGTGTAGGTATGCCAATGTTAACTTACATTAACACAGTTCAAGCCATTCTGTAGATCTGCAGTGACATGGTTTATATGAGCGATGCTACCACTCAAGCCAGTAAGTTAGGTTCTTAGACTAGTGATATATAGAAGTTATCACCAAGTAAAACATACGACATTAAAAGTAAGAAATGTTGCCCGCTGTGAAAGCCAGCTTATATTCGCTAAAGAACGCTAAAGAAGTGTATCGGAGTGACATCTTTTGATTGCACAACTATCTGGCAATCTCTGTAACTCACATGCCATATATATATATATGGCATATATGGCATATACGGCACGTCATGGCATGCATGGGCATCACGGGATCGGTCGCATCTTCACAGGTTAGGTTGTACAGCAGGAGACAATCTAATGGCTATCCGTGGTCAACTTGTGGAGGAACGCTTATCACCAACAGATGGCTGCTTACCGCTGCGCACTGCACTATGTAGGTGTAATTTCTTACCGACAGACATCTGATGTCGCCGCTTATCATAGCAAGCATAAATGCAAAGAGAAGGTGAACCCGAAAAATAAATGACCGTGATAATGCATCGCTCTGCAGGACATGTATTTACGTTTTCTATAGCAGCGGTGCGCATTATTGCGGGGTTTATTGTCTGAATAGTTTCCAGTGTCTCTCCGTTCACTTTTTCATGTGCACTCTCGCAGCATATCTCAAGCTTGGTGCATGTGGCTGTTAGTTGATTGTATGCGTCGCGTGTTTGCAGAAGAAAGCAGCCAAATGATCTTCCTCTTATGGTTGCCGGAAGTCTGGACCTGTATAACCTAGCTGGTGCACAATATCGATGGGTAAGTAGGTGAGTGAGTGTGTGTCTGTGCGCGTATGATTGATTACTTGATTGATTGATTGATTGATTGAG